ATACATAAGAGTAAGTATACATCAGAGTAAGGATACATTAGGGTAATATACATCAGAGTATACCTGTGAATAAGCAGAGTTTAGCAGAGGAAGAGGTCTGGCAGCGCGTGGTGGTGGTCGCGGCGAAGCTTGGCGCTGGGCGAGCCGCCCGCCAGCAGCGGCTCCTGCGACAGCGACGAGAATATCTCCTGCAGCTTGTCCTGGATCTCGTACTGAAATACATAACATAATAATATAAATAACATTTCTCACGACTGTAACCTAGAGGGGTAGTCAGAACATGGACCTACATTTGCTTCTATCGTGACATCTCTCGCTTCTTCATTCATACATCTAAGCATATTTTGACGTTTGAAAAATTGCGCATTTCTACGAATCTCAAACACTTCCTTACTTACATAATTCTTAATACGTACGAGATTCGTTTCGGAATGTAACCGATAGATATCTAAATACCTGCTTAATTCGGGCATGCACTGTAACTACTGACTAGTTTTAGATCCAACGGAGAAATTTCCATGTAAATTTTAGAGTAGTAGATTAAGTAATAAAAAAAACATACAGACGAGTTGAGTACCTCCCTCTTTTGGGAAGTTGGTCAAAAATATGACATAACTGACATCAAATATGATATTAATGAAAGTTTATGTATTTCATACCTTTGGCTGTGTGAGATGCAGCAAGTAATCAAATGGCGCGGTCCTGAATGTGTTGTTAAGTGAAGCCTTCTTCCGTTCAGCTTCCCGCTTCTCAGCCTCGCTGGGCCCGTTGGCAGCTCGGCGTAATGCCTCTAGGCTCACGCTGTCCGACTGCGTCGTATGCTGTCAACAAGTATACAAAAATCTTACTTGGATGTATACTATCCATATATACATATATATATGAATAGTATATATATATATAGATACTATACATTATAGAACTTACTGGAATGTATACTACCCGGAAGTATACATGTAACATCTTACTGGGATGTATACTACCCGGAAGTATTCATGTAACATCTTACTGGGATGTATACTATCTAGAAGTATACATAGTCTTCACCTTACTGCAATGTATACTAATATTGTTACCTTATTCAATGGTACAAAATAACTTCATATGCTCTAGTATGTTTTATATTCAAGTGGACTTTACTATTTTTAAATACATAATACGTCAAAATACATCTGAAATAATTGTTACTGTATAAATACAAACATACCAATAACAAATCTACTTAAATATGGATTCCTAAGATTTACATTTGTATAAAATTATACCAATTGTGATATATCCTTGTTGAGATTGGGATACAAATTTGTGGTCATATCTTGACCCCAGTTCCAAAACTCGTTATCTGTACGCTAGATATTAACAACAATATGAGAAAATGTAACAGTTTACTTCTTTTCTAAATAACTCATGAAAAATCAGTAAAAAACATCTTAAACAGTTGCTGTTGTGCGCGTCTTCGCCGGCGTGAATTAAAAAACATAGCCTATGTTACTCAGTGATAACATAGCTTTACAATGTTGCCAGATTATTTTAAATCGGTCCAGTAGTTTTTGAGTTATTCCAATACATACAAATCTTTCCTATTCTTAATATTAATATAGAAGTAAGAACAGAAGCAGTTAAAAAAACTGCTTAGACAATTTACTTATACAATTCCTAATTAATCATTTGACATCAAAACCTACAATAATAATGTACTAGCTTTCGCCCGCGACTCTCTCCGCGCGGAATAAAAAAACAAATGCAAATAGCCTATATGTTCTTCCAGATCCTCTAGATTTACAAATTTTATTGAAATCCGTTCAGCCGTTTAGGCTACAAACTCTAACAAACAACCATCTAAACTTTCGCATTTATAATATTAGTATGAAATATAATATATTTACATATACGCCGAATTTCAACATCACAGTCCTCGGATTTCTGTTGTATTTCTCCACGAACGATCTGTACTCTTCATCGAGTGCGTCGCATTGAACATACTGTACACGTTTAAGGTCAGTTTCCACTACAATAATATGTATAGAAACATATTATCTAACTATATATCTATATCTATCTCTATTTTCGAATACAGATTACAATTTTTTGTGTACTTTAAAACAATGGCACTTAAAATTAATATTAATATCCTGGCTCAAAGGACCAACTAGTTAACTAACGAATCAACTTAAAAACAGTTTAGTTTACTGAGAATTAAAAATCAAATATTTATATAAGAGTTTCAGTCATTTATGTTATTGAAAATTGTGTATTTTTCTAGAATTTTTGGACAAACCGGTACATAATTTGAAAACTTTTGTTTATAATAGTAATACTAACGCGAGTAACGCCGGGCGAGCTGTTAGCACTATCAAGCTCAGAGGGGCCGGCAGCGATGTCCGCGAGGCTGTCGCGACCTTGTGCTGCACCTGTACATACATACAAAGTCAATATTTATAAGTGAAATGAAACT